CTACCCTTCAGCTCCTCACATGCTTTTAGCTCTTTCAGGAGGCCTCGCAGGTGCATTAGACAATACTCATAATAACTCTCATTTACCAGCTGGGGCTGGAGCTGTTAACCCAAACGCTACAAATCTTGGTTCCAACTCGAAGAAAAGATTCAGAACAAAGTTTACTCAGTTGCAGAAAGATAGGATGCTGGAGTTCGCGGAGAGAGTTGGATGGAAGATGCAGAAACGAGATGAAGAACTTGTCCAAGAGTTTTGCAATGAGGTTGGGGTTGACAGAGGGGTGTTAAAAGTTTGGATGCATAACAATAAGAATACTTTTGGGAAGAAAGATCAAGCCAACGGAGGAGGGAGTGGAGGTGTTGGAAGTAGGAATAATGGCAGTGGGAATAACAATAATATTGATAGCGGACTCAACCATGAAGAAAACAATGAGAGTCATGAGAACAACAACAACAGTGGTCAGAATCTGAACCATCACTTTGAGAGTGATAGTGTTGCTCATGTTGGAACTAATGGCTCTTCTTCTTCCTCTTGATGTTGTTGATGAGCTTCATCTTGTCTTTCTGATGGGGAGATAATAAGCTGTTAGATAGAGTAAGGACTTGTTTATTAGCTGTTTCTTTTCTTTGCTTTTTTCCTTACTTCTCTTTTCCTTCTGATCATTTTGTTCTTAATTAGTTTAATTAATGATCATCACTTTGTTGAGGATATAACATGGGAAGAGCTTTGATGCAAAAGGGAATTTATTTTCTTTCCTTCACTGTTCCTATTAAATTCTGGATTTTTGGGGATCGTAAACTTCCGTGGTTCCTGTTTCCAGGCAGTGGGAAAAAATTCTTGAATTTTCGAATCTGTAATGTTTCCTTAGACGGAGTTGAAGAGTGACAGAGAGAGAGAGAGAGAGAGAAATAGCTTCCTTATTATTATCTTCTGTCTGAGAGGAAGAAGCAGAAAGCGTTAGTATAAAACTTGTAACACATTATTTTAACATGTCCCAGTAGCCTTATACTAATGCTTTAGGCTTAAATTTTATGTATACAATAAGCTGATCATAGGAGAGAATTTTACATATTTTATTAGCTTATTGGGAGCACATCATTCTTAATTATCTTCTCAATCATCAGCTTTACTTTTCTTCCTATCAACCCGCAGAAAGAAAAAAAGGAGTCCTTTTTTTTTATGAGGATTTTGCAGAATAATTAACTCATTGCGGGTGATTGCATCGGCATAATTGCAGAATTTTAGTGGTTGAGTTAAACTGATAAGACTATTTTTTATTTTTTAATTTATTTTGAAGCTTTAATTTATTCTGTGTAAAGTGCAAAAAGAATGCTTCTTGCTTTAGCTTTTAGTGTGGCATTAGGATAATGCTGGTGGGCTACGAAATAGTTAGTCTCTTGGAATTATGTAAAACACTAGGGATCATCTAATCTTTAATTTGCTTTTTGTAAGTTTTTTTTATTTCACTTTCCTATCAAGGGAAAGAAGAATGAAGAATCTATTATTGCTACTATTAGTATTCTTAGTAATATTAAAGTTGTTAATAAAATGAGAGATGATGACCAAAGTAGTAGTTAATTAATGTTCTGGGCATCTTGTCTTGAGCAACTTTTCTGGGTTTCTTTTGGTTTTTGGTCCTAAGATGAAGTCAGGTAATCTTGTTTTTGTCGGGGCACGTATCCGTCCCGGCTTGAGTCTTAGAACTCAGTCGCTTAAGCATGGGTCGGTTGGTTCCCTTTTAAGTCCACCCTCAAGACCAGGGAGATGTACTAGTTTTACTTGAATTTTCCAAGAATAATTTAATTTAATGCTATTTTTTGCCCCCAACAACTGATGGCTCCATAGCTGGTTTAGGAATTTCTAGGAAGCCCTTCTCCTAGTCTCATGGTTCTAACCCTAACCCGAACCCCTTCCCCTTGTAATATATTTTGTTCGGTTTTAAATATTTGGGTGCATAAGATGTTGTGTCATTATTACTCAAGTTGGGGAAAGGAGAAACAAAAGTGAAAGTGAGATGGAATAGGTTTATCGATTAATATTTAATTCATTATTATGTTTAGTGTGTTTGTAAGTTTGTGCTAGCGTTAATTGTATGTGTTTGTAAGTTTGTGCTAGCGTTAATTGTAATGTTGAAGCAAGCATGATTAATATTAGTAATTGAAAGGTTAAACTCCCTATCTGGGTGCCCATTCCTGTTGATGAAAGAAATTGTTAGGTGCTGTAAACTGACATTACATCAATAACATATGGTGTGTTTTAGGTTAATAACATTCCATCAGCAATAGTTGTTTTGCCATTTTCTTCCCTGGTTTAAGCTTCGCCTCTGCGTGTAATGCACCGCAACTAGTAATAATGAAGAAATTGCTTTGTGAAGTGAATCAAGTTTTTATTTTATTTCATTTTGTTTATATTCTCCCTTAAAGACCTTTTGGTTTTGGCGCAAGTTCCCTGTCCCCACTTAACTGCAACTATAGCGAGTATTGATTGAATGTGACAGTGCACAAATTTGCGATTAAAATTTCCCAAGTTTGAAATTTGGTGGGTGATTTATGGTTCACATCACCCTTTGCCCATAGCTAGGGGAGGTTCATTACCCCAGTCCCCATCACACCTTGAGCTCTCTCTACTCATTTTTTTTATTACTATCAGAAACGCACAAGATATGGATTCATATTCTTGGGAAATAGAAAGAACAAGCTTTGCGTGGTATTTACGCATGACAACGGAATATGCTGTGCAAATACTTTACTTCGGACTTTTTCTTCCATATATCGAACTAATGGAGATAGGGTATGGGCCAATAGCCAATGGCCAAAAGCCCGAGCAAGGTAGCATTACCCTATCACACAAGAGATTAAATCACATGAATAATCATAATGCAGAAATCATGGATGCAACTCCATCTTTATCCTTGTAATTTTCATATGGTTTATACAATCAAAAGTACAATAAAGGAAAGGTGGTGAACCTTTCTTGTTACTATAAGCACTTTTACTAGTTGCTAGGCTTGGAATACAAAATGGAAAACAGTGTGTACTTGAATAGATATGGATACCGATACCTCATTTTGGCAATTGAGACGGGATTTTGCGACAACAGAAACCCAGTTGCACCGCTTGATTGATATGTTTTCTTGGCTGCTATTTTCACTCAATGATGATGATGTCATAAGAGAATGGATTTTTCTAATTGGCAATAATGGTTTTCCTTGCGAATAGAACAAAATATGAAGAATCTAAGAATAGATATGAAATAGCATCATTCCTTCCATGGACACAAATGTAGCCTGATGTTGAGTAGCAACTACTGAACGATAGAAATTGTGTTTGACAACCTAAGAACTTTCTAGGCTAGACAGCATGTCTTCAAGCAAACAATTATGGGATTTCAACATGAGTTTGGCGTAATAATGCAGAAGCTCAAATTGGGATCCCTCTTGGGGTTTAAATTTGGAATTAAGTCAAGTCTCAAAATAGGGTAAATTAGGCCCTTCCTTTGTTGTTGGAGGTTTCTTCACACGTACGTTTTAGGTCCAGGGAAAGAATTTACCCCTAGAAACTCAAGAGGACTCAATATAGAGGTAGCCTACTAATTGTGTGAAACTGGTATTCCTATTGCCAAATCATGTGGGAATTGCCCACCATGTGTGCTTCCTATCTAGCATACGACGCATTAATGGGGAGACCTAAGGAGTCTAAACATAGTGCCTACTGATCTCACCATTTCGTTTTTCTGATCTTTGCTGATTTTACAACTATACAATATGAATCATCAAATTTAAAGAAAAATGATAATACTAATTATTCCATAACGTAATTATGTTAAAAATATTTATTTAGTATTAGATTTTGTTTTTAAATTGAGAAAAGACGGATTCGATAGTAGAGAGATTATACATCAGCCAATGAATTAAATGTTCGAACGCAACATTAGATTTTTGATTAATAAAACCATTCTTTATATCCTTTTTGTATCAACACATGAATATCCGTTGTATTTATATAGAAAAAAAGGCAGCACATTGTTGGGATGCAAAATTATTGATTCAAGATTAAAATATATATGTACAACTCATAAGCTGCATGTGTCTAACTCATGATTTTAATAGTGCAGCCGTGTGCCTTTTATTAATATGCTTTCTCTATGCCTTTTTTTAGCAAAACCTTTAGCAAGTATAAATAAACACGTTAAATTGTGTTGTACCTCCGGACGTGAAAGGTGAAGGTTATGCTAACTCCTGCTGGTTGGGGGTGCAGAGAGGTGATTTGTTTCTACAGGGCTCCTTTTTTGTTTACACTGCAGCCTTTTGATTCCCGTGAGCTGTGCGAGTTGCTGCTCTTTAATTTGTTTCCTAATAGATTGCGAATGAAATTTTCATCTTTTCAAAAAGAAAAAGTTACGTTGTTAGACAATTTCGTTTTCATATTACGTCTTAACACAAGGATATGACAAAAGCTAAACAAATTAGGGCATACATTTGAAGGAGGTTGTGCTGGGTGTGGAAGGAGTTTCCAATTTCGGGAATTACAAGCCAAAACAGTACTTTATAATGACTCTTTTATTCCAAAGGGTTGGTTCCTTGCCGACGTCCAACTTTTCCAACCCCACAACTCCCCCATCTGCCATGAAATTGCATGTGATATACGATTTGAGGTCAGATACAAATGCTTCAATTTTTTTTTATCAAACAATAAAAATTTTGAAAAATGGATGTCTACATATTTGCTCAATCAATGTATTGTTTTCATCAATGTTAATGGGGAAATACAAGTTTTAAAATGAGTAAGAAACTATATATATATATATATATATAAGAAGAGAAATCTTGTATTACAAAGAATTCTGTTCATAATCTTATCCTAGTTAACTAGCTAATAACATTATAGTATAATTCTAACTAGATATTGCAGTCCAACTATGTAATAGAATTGCATTATAACTATAACTAGACTAATTGGTACAACTATCTTAACAAATATATCCATTATTCATACTTTATATATTTATATATATATAATTAAAACCTTTTCTTCACTTGATGAGTTGAATCTTTTTTTTTTTTTTAAGAAAAGATAAAAAGAAGAAGAAGAAGAGAAAGCATATGTAGGTGGAAGATGCTGATTGATTAAGTTAGAAAAGCATTGAAGGACAAATCCAAGTGGTTTATGCTTTAAATCCTTCCCCATGCTTACTCAGGCATTGGAAGACATATTTTGACAGGAACAGTTATTTCAAGTCAATCAAAGGACCACACAATTATTTGCCGCATAAAATTTTATTTGCACTTTAGTTTGCGGTCCAACTATTCCTCAAATCATATCCCTAGTAGCATCCATCTTTGATTTTGCTACTTGCTTTCTCAATTGTTGAATTGACTTGGATTACCTTTAACCATGAATTTTATAAAATTTCCAAGAAATCATTCTTCTTCATTATTTAAGATATCAACCACTTCATATCTAATCAAATTCATTTTTCAGGTATATTGAATTGAATTGAATTTTCATTAGGTCCAAATATTCACTGATTATCACAAGTCCAGAATCCAATGTTGAGCCAAATGGGTGTCTCAATCCAAAGCTGATTTTCATTATGGCTCACAAAATCTAGGGGAATAGCTCGTTTGAATTTTGATAGATCAAAGCCTGGAAAGCAAGTTGGAATATTCTTTTAGGTCACATCCCATCAGGTTTTGGACTTCGAACCATAAGAAATCAAAGTGGAAAGAGCCCAATTTGTTTGAGCCAACTATGAGACGCC